AAAGAGGGGTCAAACTTGAGACATCAATGGGTGCACAAGAGCACTCTAACCATTTTTCCAAGCTGATTTTCATGTAAATTTGTATATTAAATGCATAATATCCAAAAACTTACGGGTGCACATACCTCCTCAATGTATAAAGTGGCTTCTCCCCTGCCGATATCATCGTCGCATAAAGAACATGTATATGTTTTATCCTCTTTGCTTCTATTCAAATCGTTTTAGAAACCTGCCATTATGAACACAATTTATTGTCAGTATATAAACTTCAACCATATCATCTTCACTATTTTACATTATGAAGGTATATTTTGTTTATCATAGAACAACATAATATACACACACATACCTTTCGAAGAAGATTATAATTTATATATTACATCTATCTTACTCTATTAAAATAGAAACATTTTTTAATCTAATATAAACAAGTCTAACTAGGTCAAGTTGATTAATTACTTAATATAAGATATTTGATTATTTACATAAACAATCAACTATATACCAAATATGATGAAAAGAATAAATTTTATTTTATTTCTTTTTATAAGAAAATCAGCAGAGAAAAAATCTAACAAAATCTACGAAAAGTTCAATATATATATATTTTAAATAACACAATAATTTTTCATAATTAATAATATAATACTATTATACATTACTATAAACAAAAAAAATTATACTCTTTATATTATAGTCCATATTATATTAAAATAGAAGTACTATATAAATTAAATAAAAAATAAATAAATTTGGTAAAGTAACCTTTAAAATAGAGAAATAGATATATTTCACTTAAATAAATAGATATATTTCACTTAAATAAATAAACTATTATTCACCGTTAAAAGCATTAACATTCATAAAAAATGTATATTTTTATACAAAAACGTTAGCATACGTTAAATTTTCATATCTACAACTATATCTTATTTTTTATCTAATTTAAAACTCACAACAACATATTATCTAAAAATTCATTATATACAACATATAATAGTATATAACTAACTTTTAGTTCATGTGTTAGTTAAACGATAAGATATCAGAAAATTTTAATGATGGAAAAGATATTCTTAAAAAACATTTTATCTACAAATTTAATATTTTAGTTCTAACATAATAAGTTGAAAAAATATAAAAATTATTACAAAAATTGTATAAATAATGAACTAATTTAGTAACAAAGAAATCAAAGTCACATAATCTTTCAAAATCAAAAATATTTAATACTTTTTAAAATATTCTTGACCAAATTTACAATTTTGAAAATATATATTCTAAACTCAAAGTGAAAAAATCCAAATTTCTAAAATATAAAACTATAGATTCTACAGTATATTTGTTTTTTTTATGGAACACGAAAGACAAAAAAAAATCGAAATCTCAATTTAATAACAAAAATCAGTGAACTTAATACCATAACACCCAAAATATATTTATATTGATAAAATTACTAAAATAATATCATAAATTCTACTATATATAAAAATTTTGCCAAAATAATATGGATAGTTAGTTAAAAAATAATATATTTATTTACAAAATTAGAAATATACTAAAATGGTATATTTTAAACACAAAATGGAAATATAAATTAGGCTAAGTAAATATTCTTTTATAGTATAGCTAAGTAAATATTCTTTTATAGTATAGCTAAATAAAATTTAAAAAATGTGAATCCAACTTATAGAATTTTATTAAAAAACATATTATAAAGGAGATTTTCTATTTGATTCTTTCAGATTATGAATTTATCCTACTTACTTGAAAATATAGTAGAATGTATAAAAGCAAAAAAATAAGATAATGTTAAAGAAAAAATAAAGTTAAAAAAATATTATATATTATAATGTTGAATAAAAACCTAAACAATAAGATTACCAAGCTACACAATATATAACACAAAAATATAAATTATATATATAAAATGTTTACGTTAATATTAGATGAATATATTTTAACAAATGAAAAATATATTCGCATGAATGTGCGGGTCAAAACTCTAGTTCCATATATAATAGGGGTTTTTTAGGTCAGTGAATGAAGAAAAATGAACTCTTTAAACGTGAATGAAAACGGTGTGTTAATTTCTCCATATATGGCTTGACAACTTGGGTCACTTCTTGTTCATTTTCAGGGATTTAGTCCCTACTCTTTTTTGTATCTCAACGGTATATTAAGACGTTATTCGTTTGAACACTATTGTATCAACATGTATATGTAAAATTTTAATATATAAATATCTAAGATGTTAAAATATATATATTTTGAATGTAAAATTTGCAGTTCAAAATTCTAAAACCTTAATAATCCTTAATATAAATATAAAATCAATTATATTAATTATTATACTTATTATATAATACTATTAACCGTACAAATTGTATAGTCCTATGAAATCGTAAAATATATTTTTCCATCAAAATCGTAAAATTAAGTTTTTTAGCTAAAATTATAAATTTTCTTTTGCCAAAACTATAAAATCAAGTTTTTAGTCAAACCATTAAAAAAATTATTACCAAAACCGCAAAATCGAATTTTTTTATCAAAACAGAAAATTGGTTTTTTCCGTTAGAACTGCAAAATTGGTGTTTTCTAGAAAACTGAAAATTAGGTTTTCTAACCAAAGTCGTAGAATTAAGTTTTTCTATTAAAATGGAAAAAGTTGAGTTTATCCACCAAAACTTTAAAATTGATTTTCTGCCAACACTGCTAATCTAATTTTCCCACCAAAACCATAATCGATTTTCCGGCCAAAATCACACAATTGGACTTTCCTATCAAAACTGTAAAATTAAATTTTTTTCACCAAAATCGCAAAACTGATTTTCCTATCAAAAACGAAAAATTGAGTTTTTTTGCCAAAACCACAAAATAAAAAAATTTCAAACAAAACCGCAAAATTGGGGTTTTTAGCAAAAACCACAAAATTATGTTTTATTTTTGTTACAAATATAATTATAAATAGAGTAATATGGGCCAATAACCATTTCTCAGAAGAAGAAAAAAATAGCCATAGTAACCTAATGGGTATGCTATGATATATAATATGCCATTTATTTCCCATTCTACTCTCAGCATGCGCGTAGATGTGAACCGTCGACTTTTGTCCCTTTTCCTAAACTCTATACTATGTACTGCATTGCATAGTACAGCGTGTTGGATTGCCAATTTCTTGAGTACATGGTGTACTATTTCCTTTCAGCGGAACTTAAACATGACACTCTATGTGTCTGTATTGTATTGTGTAATACATGTTTTGTAAGTTTGGCTGTTCAAATACATCTCCTATAATGTATATGCTACTGCTTTGTATTATTGTACTGTGTAATACATGTTAAGTATGCTATATATTTTCTTTTGTAGTAGACAATCTTGTTGAATGGTATTCACCATTACTAACATGTTAATTGTATAGCGTAATTGTTTCGGCTTCTAATTGTTAAGACTATACTATATGAATCAAATAAATAGAATAGAATCAGAAAATAATACAACATATTATATATTCTAAATTGTATTAGTTTTGTTTGTTTTTTACCTCCTGCTTATTCTCCTTCACTATTCCACTAACTTCACTATCTTTTCTTTCATAATTGTTGTCACCATCCCAAAATCAGATGTTGGGTTGGTACTGGAGAAGAAAAATGTTCTTTGTC